TCTCTCCTTGGCGGCCGGGAGCAGGAGACTCCCGGGGCGCCAGGGAGAGTTAGCTGTTTGGAGATCAGTGTCCCTGGTTAGCAGGTAACCAGGGACGCTGATCTCTCTGCAAGTGGCCGGAGCCAGCCGTAAGATCACGGCTGGCTCCGCCCAGCTGTCAGAAGCAGGCTGTCGGCCGGCCAATTGCAGGCCGCTCGGCCAGCTTCGGCTTTCATCCGTACAGCACCTCTTCGGTTCTACTGAACCGAAGGGGTCCTGGGGCCGAAGCTAGCCGAAGGATCGGCGGAAGCTACGGCCAGATTCTTCGGCAGCTTTGTGAATAGACCCCATTGTCTAAATACAAGAACCATGTGTATTCTTACTTTAATGTTGGCGTACTTTGTTTTTTTCCTCTATATCTGTGCAGTAATTTAATGAAAAACATAACTGTGTGGAGGAGCCTCCCACACTACAGAGTCACTGCTACTCTCTCTACATGTACAGGGTGACTGGTCTCGTCTCTGCCCCCCTCCTGTAATTTTCTGTAGGCAGCCTATAGTAACTGGACCTGCTGGGTCCCTCCCACAGCTCTGGTCTCTGTACAGACTATTGTGCAGCCCAGTGATGGTGTCAATACTATTTTTAAAAAGTAATATCTGGCTTTGCAAAGGCATTTGGTACACACAAAGTGGATCTATATCCTTTGTGGCCATTGAGGAATATATTCCCTGACACCCCTGACATCACTATCTGCTTTTAATGTGATTAGGGCCAACAGCAGACAGAAAACAGCAAATCACTTCAGCTGGGAGGACTGGTGGTTGTGGAGAGTTGTGGCAGATCTAGGGTTGCCACCTGTCCGGGATTCACCTGGACAGTCCGGGCTTTAGATGTTGTGTCTGGACTGTGATATTAACATATGAATGGGTGGCGCTATTTACATATTCTGACTCCAATCGTTGTGATAGCTAAATATATCCCTTGCTGAGACCTCTATGCCTGGCCTGTATAAGCAGATATACTCACTGCGGACAATCCTCGTCAGATAGCTGAACTCGTCAATACCGATTCATTCAAAAGAGGTGTTTACGAGTTCAGCTATCTGACGAGGATTGTCCGCAGTGAGTATATCTGCTTATACAGGCCAGGCATAGAGGTCTCAGCAAGGGATATATTTTGCTATCACAACGATCGGAGTCAGAATAGTCAGAAAATGATGCCTTTCCTCCGTACTGTGCAGATTACATGTGTGTCCTTGTTACATGTGGCTAGTAGCTGTGGCCGTGACACAGGAAGTACTGCACACAGGAAGAAGGGAGGGGCATACATAGACTGGAAATATGTCGTCACATGGGGAACAGAAATACAGAAAAGACATGTGTGATATCACAAAGGCCACTAGATGGCAGCATAGGATAAGACATGGATTTGCTATTGGGAAAATAGTTAGGCAAAAACACACTATAATAACTCTATCTAAAACAATGCTAATATTAACTGAGGCTATGCATCTCATATTCTATGCCCCGTTGGGGCGGCACATTACATATGAAAAAGCCACAACTCATTCTCCCCCCAAAAAATTCTGTGTGTGGCTAGAATGTTTGGATTTCGATGGAAGAGAAGGTAGCAACCCAGGCAGATCAGCCAGTACAAAGCAATAGGAGACTGACTGTGGCCACAGCTACCATCTGCATATAATGGTACATGGAAAGATTACCTGCGGCTAGGGACAGACAATTGTCCTATTTGCATCCAAAGGTGATCATTTGTCCCTAACCAGGTGCTTTGAACTAGTTGATCTGCCGCAACTGTATGCAACCACCTGTCACCAAAGCCACAAGAATTCTCTGGTTTCTGGCCACTGTCGGCCTAATCACAGGTGTGAGTGAGGCTTTATTCATTCTTAAAGATCCTCAAAGACCAGAAGAAAAATCACCCTCAAGGTTTTTATTAAGTTTAGAGGTAGAGGAATAAGCTGTAACACCTTTTTCCTCCCTCTGACAGACTTCCTCCACATTGTGCAATCCCCCCCCTCCCCGATGCCTCTTTTCTAAGGCGCTCTGGCTGGCGGTCACACTCTGGCATCATCACATACAATGCAGGATCGAAAGTCCTGCATTGCAATTGGGGATGGCGAGGGCCACATCCTGGAGCGTCAGAGAGAAGAGGTGAGTGCTGAAAGCCTGCTGGAGCAAGAAATATGTATTAGAGCTTATTGTTCAAACCCAGTGAGTCCCGTACAGTGCAATAAAACATATCCCAGTAGGCAATGTGCAATATCTTGCGCATGCGCATATGTGCTGCAGGTTTCTGGCAGACCAGAGGCATATATACACATGCGCGGAATCAGTGAATGTGCAGACATCCTGCCATGGGTCCCTACCACGGACCTGGCAGAGAACCATGGTTGTATACGCAGGATCAGGCTTCAAGATGGCAGCGAAAGAGCAGCAAGGAAGACAAAGCTGGACTCTATGGACCAGTGAAAATGTTTGTTTTATTTTCATAACGACACAGTTATTAGGGATTTAAAATGTCCTACTACATTGTAAGCTCTCACAAGCAGGGCCCTCTGGTACTGAAATTGTATTGTAACTGTACTGCCTCCCTCCATTTTGTAAAGTGCTGTACACACTGTATAAATCCTGTATTATAACAATACTACTACTAATAACAATAATAATAATAATAATTGCTAAGTAGGGTAAAGTTCCTCTTTAAAGTAACTATACTCCTCTCTCGCTCTCTAGCAATCCCTAACCGCCATATTGCCGGAGCCCGTCACAGACGGACACCACCTCTAGCATTCACACCTGTATCCTCTACAAGAGCCAATCACCGCTCTAGTCTCAGCCGCGTCCTTCCCCCACAGCAGAGAACGCCGCTCAGACATTGGACATTTGTATAGAGTTCTCTGATTGGCTGTACATGGGCTGAGGCTTTGGGAAGTGTTCAGCTGGGTTACCGTATATTTTCATTACTTCCGGTCCCCACCGTATTCATCCGTGACGGAGCGACTGTGTGGCTCACACGGTGCAGCCTCTAGGTATGTGTCCGGGAGCCTGTGCAGAGGGCGCGGCTGTGGCTGGAGCCGCTCTACTCTCATTGGGTGCTTTGATCATCTGTAGGCAGGGCATTAGACGGGCCCCTAGCAGGCAGCAATGTGGGGCCACCCTTGTATCATTTATTTAATCAGAAACAGAATTGACATATGACAGCTGCCAGTCACCTTATTTTTGTTTCAATATGGACAATTATCAACACTGGAGCCGACTGAATCTGAAGCAGATGCCCATGGGAACCAATCAGCTTCTTTCGTTTTCAAACAAACCGAAGAGAGAAGCTGACAGTTACTATGGGCAACTGCTCCAGATTCTCTCTGCTCCAGTTTTCATCATTTCCCACCATCGTCTTTTACTGCAATATAAATAACTTTTTTTAACGGATATATATAATCATCATCATCTGTATTTTCCCAAATAATGACTGAATTAAAGTATATTTAAAAAAACAAAAAACTATTTTCCTTTGTTTTAGTTTTGGATAGATTATGTAATGGTTAAAGAAATGTTATCACCCCTTGCAGTGGTGCCTGTCTCCTCCTCTGCTGCAAAGATGGTATGATCCTCAGTGTCTTCATGTTCTATACATTGTATTGGATGTGATGACTCGAGGACTGCTAGAACGCTGCAGTGGAGGGGGAGATTGGCTCCAGGGACTAGTTTAACCAGTTGACATCCGCGGTGTTAAACCCCCTTCCCATCCAGGCCATTTTTCAGTATTCAGCGCTGCGGTACTTTGACTGACATTTATTCCGTCATGCAGCGCTGTACTGAAATGAATTTTATACCCTTTTTTGGGGACAGATAGAGCTTTCTTTTGGTGGTATTTATTCACCACTGGGGGTTTTATTTTTTTACTATATTAAGGAAAAATTACCGAAATTTAAAAAAAAAAACAGTTTCCCCTATATTAAATGATAAAACATTTATTATTACCCAATTTTTTGGTAAAATATAAAAGATGGGGTCACGTCGGGTAAAAAGACACTAAACATGTCAAGCCTTAAAATTGCGTGCGCGCGCAAAACCTCAAAAAACGATAATACCCAAAATTGGCCATAGGCGACGCTTTAAAAGCTGTTACCGCTCATCAGTTTAGTGTTATCAGTGATTGATGGCCCTAAAATGATTGCTCTCACTGCGACGTTCGCGGCGATATGTAACATGTGTAGCGCAATTGTAATTTTTGCGCGCTGGGGCACCGGACGCGTATTTACGTTTATAGGCGCGTAAACGTGGGGGTGGGGGAGTTAAACATTTGGGGGGGTTTTTTCCCCTTTTTTTATATCTGACTTTTATTTTATTTTACTTTTTTATATGTGACTTTTATTTTTATTTATATTAATTTTTTTGCACTTATTGTTATTGCTAGCCCAACCAGGCCCCGCTACAGTAACAAAGGGCCAGGGAATTCCCCAGCTGCTGCAGCAGGAAGGGGTGGGGGCCACTGACAGTTATGCTCAGTGGAACTTGGTTTGCACCAAGCCTGTGCACATTCCTATTCTATATGCAGTCTGTTTCCCCTTCACTTGCAGTTTAGAGACACAACAGGAAGTGAGAGGAAATATCCTCTTAGTTGTCTATGGAATGGGTTGTCCATTGGAAGATTTCTTTTCTGTTCCTGTTCAGGTAACATTTTGGGTTTCCCACCATTTCCTGTCTTGGTCCTAGTCCCTCCCCACTGTATCTTAAAAATTGTGGCCTGTAGATACACTTTAATGCAAAGGAAAATATGCCCACACCAACTTTTTAGTCCCTTAGGGTCCCCACACACCTTACGATTATCGTACGATAATCGCGGGAAATCCCGCGATCGTACGATTATCGTAAGGTGTGTGGAAGCCGTGCGACCTCTGCTACTGTAAGGTCGCATGACTTTAAACTTACGGACATGTTCGAAAACCCGCCGAGCATCGTACGATGTTCGGCGGGTTTGTGGCATGTCCGTGCGATAACAGCCGCAGGGGCCGGTGTGCGCAAGCGCACACTGCCCGTTCGGCATTGCGGTCATCGGAAGCCCGCCCCTCAGGGGGCGTGGCTTGCGATCATCGCAAGTACGATCTGCCTATGCAACATAGGCAGATCGTACGTTTTTTTAAGTACCTTACAACCATCGCAAGACAGAAGTCTTGCGATGGTTGTAAGGTGTGTGCCCAGCCTTAGTAGGAGATTTTCTCACTTGCCTTGGCTGTGTTGGTTGGTCTTGGGGACACGGGCTCAATGGTTCCATGGGACACAATGGAAATTAAGTTTGTATGCGTTCACATTGGTGTCTCATGGCAGGTCTAGTTTCCCCGGCATTCCAAAAATGTACTGTAAGCACCTTCTGGAGGCCAGGATTGCCCCCAAATGGTTCTCCTTTATGTCTACAGTGCCAATATAATCTTTGGGATATGTGAGCTCTGTATGAATAACATAATAAGTAGAGGTGCACCAAAATGAACATTTCAAAAGCGAAATGAAAAAAAAAAATCTCGGTCCGAAACCAAAAATGTTTTTATTTTAACTTTTTCCCCAAAAAATTAAATATTTTATTTTTATTTATTTTTTATAAACTTTTTTTATATTTATTTATTAATGTTTTCTTAAATATTTAATTTTTTTGCTTTACTTTTAGGGGCTTTGGGGAAATATTGGGGGTCTAAACAGACCCCTGATATTTCCCTTTTAAAATAGAAAAAGAGATTGAGAGTCCTCAATCTCTTTTTCAGCATCCCCTGTTATTAATGAACAGGAATCCTCTGTGAGTGTTCCTGTTCATTGATAACATGAGGACATGGTATGTTTACTATAAATACAACTATGAATGAACAGGAGGTGATGCAGATCACTTCCCATTCATTCATAATTGAGGATATAGTAACCATACTATGTCCTCAATTATGCTTAAACACCCAGCGATCACTGATCCCGTACTGTACCCGCTCTTCATCCTGGCACGCTGTCACAGGAGGCTGAGCGAGCGGGGAGGAGAGACGGCGGCCACTCATGCGCTCTCTTCCCGCAGCGCACGGCCGCCTGTGACAGTTTCTCTGGAGGAGGGAATAGGATCCACCGCTGTATTGGCCAGAAAATGTCACTTTCTGCATTATGCCACAAGTGCCATGGAGAAACCTTCATTAATCCAGATGTGTTAGTTCATATGCAAAAGTCATCATTTTGGGGTCACATGTTGGTTTTTGCACATTTGATAAAACTTCTGGGTTAATGAAGACTGTTTTGTGGGCCTGGAGGCTTCCTTATGACCTCGATACATACACCGGTTCCATCCATTTGCCACTTTACACACACAGGTACTAATACAGGAAATGGTATTCCTACCGGTTACTCACTGGCCTTTCCTTTTGTTTCTTCCAGGAGGAGCTCCGTACAATGGAAAACACTACAGTTTTGCTGGAGTCCAAGTCTCTGCCCATCAACCTCCTAAAGGAAATGCACCAATTCCGGCTGCTGGGCCACTTCTGCGATATAACGGTTAGAGTGGAGCATCAGGGGACCACAGAGGACTTCATTGCCCACAAAACTGTCTTGGCAGCCTCCAGCAAATATTTCAAGGAGGTCCTTACTAGCGACAGGCTCTTGGGTTGTCATTCCGTCTTGCTAAATGACATCTCGGCTGCAGATTTTGCCTGGTTTCTAGAATTTGTCTATACAGCCAAGCTGGAAGTGGAAGAAGACAAAGTCCAGAGGGTTAGTGACATAGCGGAAAAACTCAAATGCTTTGACCTGGCCAAGGCCTGCGGTCAACATAATAAGCAGATGCTGGAAGAATCGGTTTGGTTGGACCTGCAGAATATTGCAGAATCACACGATGTGGAGGACGACATGCAAGAACTGCATATAAATTCTCTTACAGACATTCATTCTTCTGGAGTAGAGGATGTCCAAGCTACAGACACCACCAACGCTTTTCCTAATGGCCAAGACAGCAAAGTCAGAGACGAGCCTTGTTTGGATGCCTCCTCAACCATTGTGGTGGAGGAGTATGTGGAAAACAAGAAGGCGCCATCAAAGCATTCGAACTCCAAATCCCGAAGGTCGAGCGGGCGCATAGCCGGGAGGAAAGCTGTGGTTGAAATTCCTAAGAAGAAATACACAAGGCGACTTCGGGAGCAGCAAGACGGTGAAGACGTGGACTCTTTGCTGAACGGCATTGAGAGAGAACAAGTTCCATGCAACGAGGAGCTCATGGGTGAGCAGACTGAGGACAGCATAAAAGCTGAAGATGAGGACGACAGTCCATGCGAGTTAGCGGATAGCGGAAAACCCTCCAATGATGATGATAATAATAATCGAGCTCCTGATAAATATGTTGTATGTTCTATCTGCAGAGAGAACTTTGAAGACGAGAAAACTTACTTGAAACACTCAAAGCAGCATCACGAGACTTCTGAGGAGATCTACCAGTGCGATATTTGCAACCAGAACTTTGCAAATAAGTGCAACCTAAAAAGCCACCAGCGCCACGTGCACAGCAACGAGCGTCAGTTTCCGTGTGAGCTCTGCGGCAAAAAGTTTAAGAGGAAAAAGGACATCAAGAGACACATTTTGCAAGTCCACGAGGGTGGCGGTGAGAGGCACTTCTGCCAAGTTTGTGGGAAAGGTTTAAGCTCCAAGACGGCTTTGAGACTTCATGAAAGAACGCACACTGGGGACAAACCCTTTAAATGTTCGTTGTGCAGTGCCAGATTTTCCCAGACTTCTGCACTGAAAACGCACATGAGGTAGGCATTTATGTACAGGCACGGCGCCTGCCTAGTAACCAGAAGGGAGAGTTTACATACTTATTTTTACTATCCCAAACGGAGTGTGATCTGCAGAGCATAGTGTTTGCCCATTAGTCCCTGCTTTAGGGGACAGTACATTAGCTTTCAGTGCTGGGAGATTGGCGCTGGTAGCTT